GTCACCATACAAAATTATGTAAAAAATCCAAGTTTAAGTTCATATAAATATGTTGCATATACTGCACAATCACAGTGGTACAGTGGTGTGGAATGGCTGAGTTGCTTGGGGAGCACACACAAGATTGAGAAGACACGGGTCCCATTCCTTGAATTTCTGACAAGACATTGTGTCCTTGGGAAAGGCACTTTATATGACTTTGCTGACTTCACTCAGATGCAAAATGGGTACCTGACTTAGGCTGGAGAGGTAAAGGGGCTGGAAGGAGAGGGATGGGCTGTGCCTTACAATACTGTGCACCAGTGCAGGTATGCAAAAAAATAGCATTTTGATTCCTGGTATCTAAAGAGAAGAAGAAGAACCCCCCACCTGTTTAAACATGACCCATGAGTTCTGGGGGGTGCTGGGGTTGGGGGGGTTCTTCAGTTTGTTCAGGGCCTCCTCGATGTGCTTCTCGTAGGTGTCCTGGAACCAGCGCTCGTGGGGGGTCTCCCCAGGCTGGTCTGTGATGGCCTTCAGGTGCTCCATGGCAAACACAGTCTGAAACAAATAAAACAAACAAACAAAGGTTTACATGTGGACTGCAAACAATTGCAGCTTGAAATTCAACCATTGACCGTAAAAGCACATTCTCATCCCATATTATATATATATATTTATAATTACATAGTCTTTGTAAGGTAGATTAGCCTCATAGTATGTTTGTTACAGAGTAATAAATTACATGCTTTATACGAATATCATGCAATCATGTTTGTTGAGGTTTCTTCTGAAATGGAAAATTTAGCGTAATTGGGGTCCAATGACCAATATTCATCATTGTTGTCAATTGGTTTTACTTCTCGGTTTTGTGGTCATTCATGTGTATAAATTCCTTTTTTCATGCCATTTTTTGTGCCATGCTTATCCTTTGTTTTGTAATAAAGAATGAATTTGAAAAAAACATTAATTATATGTTGACCCACAGGTTTGAGGATGGCGTTGTGTTTCTCCAGGATGATGGCAGACTTCTCCTCGTGGCTCAGCGTGGCGTTACTCAGCACGCGCTTCACCTCGTCCTCCAGCTGGTGGATGCGGCGGGTGATGTCTCCGTGGTGCTGGTTGAGCGCGCCGAACCACAGCTCCTCCCACAGCAGCGTGACTCTCCGCAGCTCCGACACCATCGTCTGTACCTGGGACACCATGGACGGGTTGTGCTTGGACAGGGTGTCCACTATGGCACTGCGGGAAGAATGTATCACATTACATTCATTATGTTTACCAAAGGAAAACACATTTTTTCCTCTTCTCCAAACACAAAAGGTCAATGACCTGAACCAGTCTATCACCATGGTAACTAGTGTTGGGTTACATGATGTTGCAATTTTATCCGGTGCTGTAGCACTGCCTTGCAGTGTCAGAATACATTATGTAGCAATTTGCAGGACAGAGTTAGAGGGGCTGGTCACCATATACGTGTATATGAATCTGTTTAGTGAGAAGGAACAGAATGCTCATTTCTTAGGCTAGTCATTGTGAAGCCATTATGCATTTGCTTTGCAAATGTTCTAGTTTTATTCGTTTTGAACAGCAGATCCCACTCAAGTCCATACCATACCATACCTGAAACAGTTTCTCAGGTCCGTGTTGGCTTCTTCGTCCTCCTCATCCTGGGACTGAGAGTTGTCCTCAGTCTCCTCGAGATCCCCGTCCTCCTTAGCGTTATCAGCTGCCGACTCGGCCAAGATGGTGGACAGCATCTCCCCTGGACCTGGTATGGAAACAGTGAGATGTGCAAAGGTTTTGTTATTACTTCCATAACTGGTACAGAAGTATTGTTTTGGGTGGCTGAGTTATGGGTTTGTTGGTCTTAATTGCTTTCCATTGCATGGTGGGTGGGAGGTGATTTTGACAGTTGATTGATAGGGAGGTCATCTGAAGGTAACCCAGCATGCACCTTTAGAAAGTGTCAGTTTATGATTCAAAATTAATTATGATTCTGAAGAATTTTTTTCTCAAGATTCTACAAAATTCAATCAATGATAATAGCAGATCATACACTTTCAGGTTCAGCAGAAGCCAAAAATGTCCAAAAAGAAACTTGACTTAAGAATGTTGTCTTCCTTCTTACCCTCCTTTGCAGGGTTCTTCTTGTCGGTAGCTATGGATGAACAGCCAACCACGGCAGGGTACACGATGAGGTGGGGGGAGTCCTGCGCCACGCGGCACAGCAGGTCTGAGATACTCTGTCTCACGTAACCCTCGGGGTGGTTCAACCGCGAGAACAGCTGAGGGATGATACCTGGGACACAACAACAAAAATATAAATTATAACAATATCATCAAAGATTTCAAACCTCTGGCAAGCAATCAGACTTTTTGATAATATATTGAAATGGTCTGATATACTTTCAATGGCCTTAGTAGGGCAGAAAACTTGTAGCTGAGAGCTTGTGACAGGCCCTGTGGGTGATTTACATGACATCCTTCCAACTTGACCTGAAGGTAAATCTGCAGTAGCTAAGTCATTTAACGGTAAAAAGATGTGTTCTGAACATGGCACCTACCCTTCCATGGAGCGGTGGGAGTTTTGGCCAGCCCCTCCTCCAACTCTACCCGCAGCTCTCCCGCGTGTTTGACCAGCAGCCGCAGCAGTCTCAGCGTCGCCGTCACGTTCCCGTCTTCGTTACTGAAGGACTCCGCACTGCAAGGCTGGAAAAGGTGGAAGAATTTCTCTCAGAATGCAAGAGACTTTTGAAATAGTTTTACATGTACATAATGCCGACCATGCTAAACTTGGACACATTTCTTAACTCTTGAACTTTTGATCAGTCTTCACTGTTTACCTCTCCGTTGAGTTTGAGGTACTGGAAGTAGGCCTTGCAGGCGAGATGATAGTGACTGAACAGTCCGTCACAGATCCGCCTCCAGATCTCCAGTAGCAGGTCCACCACGTCCTGGCCGGCCGTCTGCAGCGTCGGGCAGCCGGTCAGCAGCTGGCGCCGCGTCGTCTCCGCGCTGTCATGGTACGGGAACTGCAGAAACAGCGATGAAGGTCAGACATCCGGGTTAACAATAATCAAAGACATCCGTGAACAGATTCATCAGGTTGGTAAGACGCTGAGTAAAGAGACTCTTTTTTACACAACCAAGACTTATTCAGCGGATGTTTTGGTGACTGTCTGTCACCTTTCTCAGGGAAATTCTGACTGGTTCACATTACATTTGTGGAGATACATGTACTATGTAAATATTGTACATTTGGGAATGCATCTGAAGCAGCGACACCTGTGCTGCAATGTAATGTGAACCAGTCAGAGTTGACCTGGATTACCAATTTTTGCAAAGACTAACCTTGGGTAAGTCCAATTTGTTGTGTTGGCAATGGCAACTTCCAAGAAAAGACTAACCTGTATGTTGTCTGAGATGTCCTCCTCCTGCATGCCGCTGGCACTACAGTGTGCCTGGCTGATGATAGTGAACACCATGTCCACCTCCTCTGCACCTATACCTGCAGGTAGGACCTGCAGAATCTCCGCCTTGTCATCTGCCGTCAGGTCCACACTGCCCGCCGTGCTGAAATCAACAAACAAACAAATCTAAGTGTTTGTTATCACTTAAGTGTACATTCTAGCTCCAACTAGTTACGTACACTAAACAAATCATTAATCTATCATTTGGCCTTCCTATTAATAAAAGATACTTACTTCTGGCACTTGTACATGTAGTACATTGTACGTACAGTGAATTTATGGTTCACTCTTTATTGAAAAGTGCTTGGGGAATTTCCTCGGTACACTATAAATACTGTACATACAATGTAGTGTCTGTGTTCTGTCAAGGCAAGTGGAAAAGTACCCCAACTGTTCAACTTTCATCCATAAAACTTGATAATAGAAGAAAGTGTGATCTATCAGATCTAGATACCTTGCCACGTCCACAACTTTGCGTCCCCACTTGTAGCTCCAGGCGGCCAGTGATGACCAGGCCTTGGACAGGTGTGGACATTGCATGGTGCTGAGGTGGACCAGGCGGCCACATGTGAGCTCTGCCTCGCTCATCACATGAGAGGTTCCTAACAGGTGAAACAGAGGGACTCAGTCAAGGCAACAACAGTAATGATGTCAACACATTTTTTGGCATTTGTACAACACAACTTTTACACTTACGTGTATCATAGTGAAAAGACATTTATCACATGCAAGAAAGTGCACACTTTATACACAGTAAATAGAAATACTGACAGTTTTAAATCAATAGATTTTTTGCCAGAAATCAGACTTGGAGCCTGCTAGAATTTTTGTCCTCAACACAACTTTTATACTTATTACTAATAATAGTATCACTGCGAAAGAAATTATCATAATTATGCAAGAAAGTGCACATTACACTAAGTCTTAGTAAATAATTAATACTGATGGTTCTATGTGAAAAGTTTTCCTCAGAGGCCTTCAAAGAATTGTATTCAGACGCAGTTGTTTAATGTTAATTGACTTTAAAATGCACTGATAACGGTATTTTTTTAAGAATCACCTCTCCTCTGCACTAGTGCAGCAGCCGTGTTGAGAATCCCCTTCCCCTGCCAAACTCCTCTCTCCTCTAACTCCAACAGGACCTGAATGTTCCGGGTCAGCCTGGGGATCAGCGAGCCCTCATCTGCCTTGGACACCAGCTTCAGGTACGACGCTGACGTCTTCCAGTCTGCCTGCAGCCACTTCACCAGCGTCAGCAGCGAGCGTGACACCAGCTCTCCCGTTTCCCGCGCCGTCTTGGTGGGCGGTTTGTCCAGGGCCAGCGGGCCGTAGGTCGCCACGCAGGAGCTGAGGGTTTCCCAGGCCTCGGAGGAGTGGCCCATGGTCTGCAGGATCTTGGCGCTCTCGCGTTCCAGTTTGAGGCGGAGCGGGTTGGTGAGGACCGGCACGCTCTCCACGGTTGAGAGGGCGTTGAGGATGGTTTGGGGACCTGTCCTGGTCTGACTGTAAACCTGTGAGAAGAATGTAACATACAGTCAAAATTTGTCAAAATGTCAGCATGTCCATTTGATACAATACAATAAAGGTTAAATTATATTAGAAATGTCCGTTGTACTTGATGAAAGAATGTTGGTAAGTGGTCTTTTTAGCCTTAATGAATTACATGTATATGCATATTGCTGTGGCATGTGATCCTCTATTTGTTAGATACAATAATTATTCTGCACACTATCAATTCCTATCTATACACGAATGGTAGGACCCTAACCTGTGTGGGCACCATGGTGGCGTTTTCCTGTGCCTGACCCTGCAGGAGGTCCACATGGTCCAGCAGCACCTTCTGTGCCAGCTGGAAGTTAGCCTGTTTCCTGGCCAGCCTGAGCGTGGCCAGCCGGAGGTGGGACAGGTGCTCGGTGATGCCCCCTGCCAGCCCTTCCCGGTCCTGCAGCACATGCAGCTGGTGCTGGAGGTACCACATCATCCGGTGGCACGTCCGGACATTGTGCTGGCTGGGTTCTAGGGTCAGCTCGGCCATGGAGTGGACGGGCCACTCCCGAGAGTCCGTGGCCACCATGGCTTGTAACGTTTTGGCCCAGTAGAAGTTGATGGTGTGGTCGTGGGGTAGACAGGTGGGCCACTCCGAGGCAGACAACTGTAGGAAGTTGTCGCTCAGCTTGGCTGCGTGTTTCAACACTGCCGACACCCCACTTCTGAAGGAAAAGGACAGTGTCAAACATATAACTGATACAATTTTGACATTCCTCCAAAGCTAAAAATGCCTTTCAATTATCCTGTAAATAAAACAGATTGAATAATTGTATAATGTAAAGAAGAAAGTACAAAATGTACCTGTGTGACTCGTCCCTGCTGCTTACCCCGGGAACAAGACCGATGTGCGTAGCAGCTCTGACCAGCTGCTGTTCCGTTATCTGTAACAGCTGTCTGCTGTCCCAAGCTGGGGAACAGCTGAAGTCGGGTTTCTCAGCTGCGTCTTCCAGCCCACTCAGGGACGCACCTGGAACCAGCTCCAGGTGTTCTTTCACACCTGGAAGGTCCACTTCTTCAAACTTTGACAGAGCCCTGAAAAAAAACAGGGAAACTATCAAATATTGACGATTTTGGGGTATCATAGGTTCCTGATCTATTCACCTTAAATTCAGCACTGTGGTTGCTAACCTTGGACTTGAACCCCCAACCTTTTGATACACTTACTTGATGTAGTTGAGGTCCACATCAGTGTTGAAGGCTCTCTGTAGGTGTGAGTTGGTGTTGTCCATCCGTAGCTTCTGTACACCGTGCTGCCAGTCCTCCACTGAAGACCAGTCCGCCAGCGAGATGTAGCACTCTGCCATCTAGGTAAAACAGTGTGAATAAATATGTCATGTCATTGTGATCTTACAGTCCAAACTGCCAAAGGCAACTCAGGGAACCAAGAAAATCTAGTCTATGGTCATTATGACAGACAACATTCTTAATGTCTGACAATGTGTCAATTAAATGTTGGAAAAATTATCAAAGGCCCCACTAAAAAAGTCACATTAGCCAGGTGGTCCTTTATTTATAAAAGTGGTCACTTTTTAGTTTTACAGGTTTCATTGTAAACAATTTGAACAAAGAAGCTGTATACAAAAACAAAAATTAATCTAGCCAGTCCAACCACTACATGTAACATGGAGAAAAGCAAGGGCTCAATGTAATAATAGACTTCTGTTTACTTCCAACTACATACCTGTTTGATCATGAACTCCACAACTTCAGGGCTGGGGTCCACAGGTTTATGGAGGACTGTCAACTTAGGGGAGCCAACCCCATCCTCCCCTGGAGTGTTACTGGACAGTCCCTGTGATCGGGGGCTGTTCGGTGGGGAGGGGAGGGAGCTGTCTGTGTTTGCTTGTGGCTCGGAGGTCACAGGAAGACTGGTGAGACCCAGGTACAACTGTAGACCATGGTGGTATTCTTTCACTGCAGCTTCATACCTGTCATACAAAGCATCAATGAACCTTTATTTATGAGAAGCTCAAATAGGCCCGCAGGCTGCCTTTCCCTGAGATTACATCATTTTAAGTCCTAACAAATCTATACAGATATTTTGATGAAGGTTAGACATCCAGGTAAACGATACTCGTAAGAAAATTCAAACTCTACTACTGGATCAGTTAACGGATTTATTTCCGGACGTTTCGAGTGACATCCATCACTCTTCTTCAGCGTCACATGATAAAGCTTCTTACGGACCTTGTTGTTTAACCGGTTTTTCTAGTTACTTGTATATAAGAGTAAATCGGTTCTCTGTTCATTTGTGACGCTGAAGAAGAGTGATGGATGTCACTCGAAACGTCCGGAAATAAATCCGTTAACTGATCCAGTAGTAGAGTTTGAATTTTCTTACGACTATACAGATATTGTGTTTCTTGAGCAACAAAAGAGGAGCTACACCTCTACAGTTTTCCCAATAATATTGATCAATCCCAAATATAAAATTGATTCTTCTTCAGCCAAAGACAGCAGTGAAAACTTACACTTTTACTACACATGGGTAGGATTCAAGTTTTCACCCATCTTATCCCTTAGAAAAAACTTACCTCATACAATGTATACAAAAATAACTGGATGATACCATCATCTTTTGGTCAATCAGTCGAATGTGCAAAAGTGCACCACAGTTGTAAAGGTAAGGTTCTTAATTACATTACCTATCCCAGTTACATTGTACAGTTGGTTGTGATGTGACACTCCTACCTTCCCCCTGCCTGTTCCTTGATGGCGTTTATCCACGGCATGTTGCGGCCGATGACATCGCGGCACCAGGCCAGCATACCCACGATGGCGTCAGGACAGCGCAGCTCCGACAGCGCCTGTACCACCAGCACCACCGCGTGCTCAAACTCCGAACCCTTTCAGAGGAAAAATAAAAGTTTTGCTGATGTCTATAGACTGAAACGCTAATGCAACTATATCCTATTCTCTAACTGGAATATCCCATTTTGACTGCGTGGCAGCTTTGATAGCTAGGTAGAAACACAACATATCCATCAAAACACTAGTAACTGCAGCTCTTTCAAATTGTGTAAAAGTTTAAACTTCTCCCTTCTACCACCACGCCACCCGATGCCACTCTCTCTTGTTCCTACCTGTGTGTTGTTGTTGTCCTTCATGTCCCACAGCAGCTCGTAGCCGTGCCTGAGCGCCGCAGCCGGCTGACCGCAGTGTAGAGCGATAGTCATGATGGACAGACGGATCCGGTTTAACCACTCCAGACACGTCGCTCGGTTGGTACGGAAGAACGTTCTCACCGTCTGCAACATAGCATGGACGGTTTGTTTGTTTATTTATTGTGCGACAAAAGCAAGACATTAAGGTAACAAGGTGATAAATAATTCTGCAGGAGGAGAGGAGAAACCTAAGATGGCTTATGCTAATAAGCACTCCTATATACAATTTTGACAATAAACATTGTATTGATTAGTGATGCTCAATAAAAAAAGTATAATAGACATTGTACAATGTAGTACATATAATGCAGATAACATAGAAATTTACATAAATGAGGAGTCTGTCTGGCACATGTAAAAATATCTACTGGTATTACTAAAAAAAAACATTTTCTACAGTCTAACACAAAATAAAAACCTAGCAAAGACAGTATAGAATAGTTTCAACCCAATGAAGCTATTCTAATAGCAATCAAGCAACACTGATAATATGCTTCCGCCCCAGAGGCGTCGCCAAAAACATAACCACTTCATAGACATGACAGTGATGACATGGCTACCTTAGGAGGGGCAGACATGGCCACTGCACACCCCTCGTAGGCGTTGTACATGAACTTGTCCAGGTTCTCCAGGAACTGTAACAGTAGGTGGACCTGGAGCTGGGCCGTGTAGTGCTTCCCGCCAAGGCCTGCGTAGAAATCATTGTAATTAGACAACAAATTCATTTCAGTCCAGAAAAGTACAACTTCATTCCAACACTTAAATCTACAATGTTTCCCCACATTTGTCTTAAGATACTTAAATGTGTTCCCTTTATGTTTTCTTCATTATTTTGTTGTTAATGCAAAGAGCAACTTTAAATACTGAAAAGTTAATGTAAATGCTAATAAAGGCTATGGAAAATGCACTAATACTCTGACAAAAATATATTCAGTTACAACAGTCCAAATACATCACATAGTTGCTTACATGTATGTCTTAGAAGCATCTGATGCTTCAAAATAACTTTTCAACTACTTATTCTTACTCCCTCAATTTTAACATTTGTAGGTTCAACATCACTCAGAATCTGTAGTTATGTGCAGTTCCGTACCTGACAGCTTGGTGTCGTCTGTCTTACTTCCCTTGTTTTCATCAGAGTCTCGACTTCTGGCTTCAGCTGCATACGTTCTCACAGCCACTGTACAACAGAACACAACATTGTTATAATTTGGTTAAGGTAAAAGTCCATACATGTAGCCTTCTTGAGGCCATAGGGGCAGTGGGTTGTTAGTCCACTGTGTAGGCAGGGTATTGAAAGGCAGAAACTATCCTTCTCTTTATGCCACTTTTCCTTTACCCTACCAAACTCAGGTACCCATTGTTCAAGTGTTTTACCCAAGGACACAACATCTAGCCAGGAATCCAACCTGTGACCCACTGATCTCGTGTCCCGTAGCCTATATAGCTAGCCACTTTTGGATACCACGTTTAAATTTAGCTGTTGATTTACATTGTACAATCATGCATTTCATAGTTGTAACTGGCCCCTACCCTTCAATGTTATATGCTCGATTAGGGTTCCACCCTCATAAACCATTATGTCACCTACATGAACATTGTAGGACTAGATAACTCAGAAGAGAAAGATGTTTGCTACATTTTACATGTACTTTACAGGAAGCTGGCTGTGGATTTTTTATTGTACATTTTATTGTACCTTCTATAGTCTGGAATGTCTCCTGAGCGCGCCCCAGTGGTGTGCGGAGTTTAGCCAGCACACAGAAGGCAGCCGCCTCCCACATGGCCCAGAACCACAACAGACTGCTGTTGTCCTGAAACTGGGAGGAAAGACACCAAAATACAGGTTGCTACAGGATGGTACTACACACAAATGTGAAAATATCAGTGCTGTATTCTGCAAAAAACAATAACATTCTTTAACATCCCAATGGGGTAATTATAAAGTTTAAATTAAAAGACTAGTGGAATAACTGTTATAGATGTCCAGGACAACAAAATATTGATGCAAATTCTACCCAACAATCATACCATTTTGCAAATAGTTTACAATATGTATTTTACTTCACAATAAAATTTTTCAGTTAATACATTGTATATCTGTCCACTGTCCAACAATATGATTGTCTCATTACCCTGGGAAAGGGTACCAATTGACCTGGATCAGGTAAATATCTTAACGTGTCATGCACAATCTACATGTACATGTATTGTTACCAGATGTAACAACTGTCGAAAGGACTTCAGAAAATCATTTTTTTTTCTTTTTACATATTGAAACATGTGACAATCGATTGCAACGGGCACTTTCACGGCCAAAGTGATCTTGTTACATGTAAGTACCAGTTTCTGTAGGCACTCCCTGTCTTGGATGACCTTGTCCTCGTCAGACCCTAGGCCACCATCTTTCTTCCGCGACCGCTGGCAGCTGTGGAAGATTCTCTCCACCCATTTGTCGGCCACCAGGTTGCTATGGTAACAGGAAAATCAGATGTTTATACCACAGAATTTGACATAAACGAACACATTCTCCAATTCCTGGATGGCACTTATTGGCAATAGAGTAGAACTTACTAAAGAAGTGATCAGGAAAGTTACTTTCTGTATCATACTTATGTAACAAAAGGTTACTCCACACTGCTGTATTTACTATATTTTTAGTTATCTATGTACTAAAATGTCCAAGCATACCCTGGTTTGGTGGAGTTGAGCAGGAATGCCATAACAGTGCGGAAGTTGTGGGAGTGGAATGTTCCAGAGGGGGCCTTGGCCATGTGGCTGTGCCGTGCCTCCTGCTGCAGCTCAAGCTCCTGCTGCAAGGTGGCTCTTCTGTGGGGCACTGGCTGGGGATCACTGTAGTCTTTTTCACTGCAGATAGAAAGTCAACAACTTCAACCTTTTGCCTTGTCCCTGAGTTCCCCACCCTACCAGCCTCTGGGAGACCATTTTCACCCCCAATTTGACTTTCCTGTCAGTCTTAGTTACACTATCCCCCCCCTCACTTTCTGTGACGCTACTGCATTAAAAATACACAATGTACTACTGACACACATGCAAACAAACAGACAAACTGAAAACAAGACCTCCGTATAAGGAGGTAAACATCAGAATTGGTAAGCCCTTAGTGAAACTATCCATACTACATGTACATGTGTTTGAAGAAAATTTAACTGTTCTCCAACTCAAAAATGAAATCAACTCACCAGAAATTTTGGAGTTTTGTGTTTTGAGTTGGAGAACAGTTTAATTTTCATCATGTATTTTACCAACTCTACCAACTTTCATACATGTACATGTGTTGTCCTTACGTGATGACAAGGGCTATAGGCAGCAGGGTGAGTAAGCTGGTGCAGGCCTGTTGAACACCTCTGTCTGTCCTGGTCAACAGCAGCTTGCAGACGTCCACACATCTCCCCAGGAAGTCGTGCGGCAGGTGTCCCAGCTGCACCACCTGCTGCAGCAGCTGTACAGCAGGCAGGCAGGTGCCGCTGTCGGGACTGCAAGCTGGGATGAGACATTTTTGTTGAAGAATATTCATACATTTGTATGTGCCAAACAGCTTATAACTGTTAGGTCTAAGTAAGTAGCAGTATTCAGTATTTGAAAAATGAGTGAACAAACCATAAAACACATGATTACAAAGCTAAATTTCTCTCACACCAAATTTGGGGTATCTAGGGGATTTCATCCATTTGAAAAAAATTGTGTAGTTGTGAAGTAAACTAATATTAAGTGTTACCCAGAGGCAGGAGCCCTCTGCAGGTAGCCTGGTACTCAGGCATGGAGAACAGGTGGGGGTTGTCAGCTCTCTGGAGCTGCTGTACGATCTCCTGTGTCCATCGAAGGCACAGATTCCTGTATAAAAATAACATACATGTTGTACATTTAGAACTAATTTAACATATTAGGCCATAACAATCTGTCTCCTTCATTCTCTGACAATGTTCATTAAAAAAAATCATTGAACGATTGGCTGAAAAAACAACTAAACTCAAGTATTGGTACTGTCAAGCGGATCTAATTTAATACTGAAGTTTACTGAAGTTTAATGGAGTATTACACCATTTCCTGACTTTCTCCGCCCACTTACTCTCACCCACCTTCCTATCCATCATCTGTCAAAATCACTTCCCACCCACATTGCAATGAAGTAAGTAATTAGGACAGACAAACCCACAACTCTGCCACCCATGACAATACTTCCATACCCGGATGTAACAACCTGTTTACCTGCTGTCACCAGACATGTTACTGGAGGGTAAGAGTTCAGCCAGGAGTCCCAAGATGGTGGCAAAATGCCCCCCCGTGGACAGACTCACCCCCTCCATGATGGTCGGAGGGGGGGCACCTGAGGCCAGACTACTGGAGATGAAGTGGCCATGCCTGGAGGAAAAATTCAACAAGAGCTACTAGCAACCAATAAAGCATTTAAAGATAACAGTTACAGACAAGCAACTGGTTGGATGTTGAAAACAGACATTTCAGGTAGCATCCACTACCTTTCATCAGAGATCTGTGGTCAACAGCTGTTGGTCCAAAAACTATGAAATGTAAATGGTTTATCAATACAATTCAAAAGCATTACAATATCTTGTTAATAAGAAGAAAGATGCAAACAACTGCAGTTCCACAAGTAGTCAATAGGTGTCACCATATCTTCCTTTTTAGCAGAGACCTTTTAAAAACAACATTATACCTGGTACAGTGAGACAGCAGGGTGTACAGCGCTGTGTACTGTACAGCTGGGTGACTGACAGCCAAGTGGAGGTGACATGGCTTCAGGTGGGTTGCAAACAGCTCAAAAAAGCTGGGGGACAGTCCCCACATCTGTGGCAGAGAGAATGACAAAAAGATTTTGTTTATCGTAAAGTTTGAATGTTGAGATTATCAGCATCTTCAACCAGAAAGATTAAAAGTGAATTAGAAATATCTACTAGCGGCACCTACGTTAGAAATTCTTGTAAGACAAAACAATTATAGCTCACTACTAAAATGAACTTAATTGTCACCATCTTGTGCTAAACCTACATAATGACACAATTAACTTTCTTAAATGTGACCAACCAAATCATTGAAATGTGACCTATGACCTACCCCTATGATGGAGTTCTTGGCATTGCCGATCTCCGCCAGGCCGCACATGTTGAAGACGGCCACGGTGAGCGCCTGCTGTTCCGCGTACACGGAGGACGCAAACGGGTTGTTTTTCACCACGGAACAGGACGGGGGCAGGCCGTTACATGACAGGAGCGTGTTGATCGCCACCTCCAAATCTCCAAGGACAAGTCTGGTAAAACAGAAATACAGTTATGTACCAGTTGTCTAACACAATCTGCTATGCCTTTATTTTGTCTGTTTGTTTTGCATAACTAGTAAACAACCTTTAGCAAAGTTAAGTACAAGCTATATACAACTGGACTGTGAGGTTTCATCCACTCACACTGGAAAGGACCCCTACTCTTTAGTGATAAGTTCTTTAACACCCTTGTCACTTCAGAAAACAGTACAGACGTCACCAATGTGGAGAAGAGGAACATGTTAATCTGTTCACTATCAGGATGTCTCACCTATAGACCATGTCGAGCAGTGGAATGTTCTTAAGAGTCAGAAGGCTTCGGTACACCTTCAGGACAGATGGCAGCACCTGTGGTTGTACAGTGACAAAAATCTTCATTTTAGTACAGATCCATATTGTTCAATGATTTGTACATTTTTGCCTCACAGGGCTAAGCACAGGTCACATGTTTACAAACATCTTTACAAAAATACACACACAGAATATCTGGCTTTTGTCTCCCTTCTTGGGAATGTGAGAGGATGTAAGATTAATTAAAGTTGGTTAGTGAAAAGACTGTACATATATCTTTTTTAACATAAACTTTTTACTAATCAAGTGTCTAAAGTGAGGAAATTTATTTATACAATGTATCTATGTCTGCTGTACATAACATTTCTATATCTATCTTCTAACGTTCAACACATTTCTTGCAACAATGGCATCTTATTTCTCTATCTCACTTCTCATAGACATCAAACAGGCACACGTACCTCTGGGTTGGTGTAAAACCTGAGTTGTAGGAACTTGGAGCCGGGGCCCAGAATCTGTTCAATCACAGACACAGGCAGGGAGGTGTTCACCAGCTCCAGGATCTGACAGGGGAAGGACCAACATGAAGTCAGGAAGGAAGACCCTTTACTGGACTTGGCAACACAAATGCAAATTGGACTTGTGGCACTACAATGGAGTGTCTAACTCTGAGGCCTATTTCATTATTACACAGATAAGTGACTAAAAGTACGCAAGACAAATAATTATGGGAAAAAACAATGGCATTGTTTGTTTGTTTCACATAAACGGTAAACCACCTTCAGGGGTGGCATACCAGTTTTGTACAGGAAGACTGGACTGTATGTTCGATCCACTTTGGCATAACATTGGTGTCTGCTAGGGATTCAAACCCAGAACCATTTAATTAGATTCTAAGTCAACAACCCTAACCACAAGACCACCTTGGCTTAAAATAATTTTTCCTAGAAGACCATTTATAAGTATGAAACCTACACATACCTTATTGAGCAGCCTGAGAGCTGAGATAGAGTGGGTACTGCTCAGCATACTCTGCTCTGTCTGCTTGGTCGTGTAAGACAGAGCCCCACTGCAGGACTGTGCTAGCCCGGAACCCAGGCCTTGTCCCAGCAGGCACACACAGGTGTTGGCTGGTCAGAAGAAAACAGAGTATTTTTCATTAAGTAAATGAATGAAAGAAATAATTCTGTGTTAAAGCTGAGTACTGAGCTAGTCCTTGCAAAAAACACTTGTTGACAGTAAGTGCAGCTGGCCATACCTGCGATGAAGAGTTCCTCAGATGGATGGTCAGTGGTCACCTGATCCACACATCTCACCATCCGGTCCAGCAGCTGGACAAACAACAACATGTTTGTCAACATTCCCAATTTTATGGCGATACAAGGTAAATCTTATTTTTGTAATGACAATAACATGTAAATTACAACAGATTAATATTAAAATGTATTACAGCTAAAATTACAGTCATAACATGTAATTCACATTTAATATAGTAATTCAGTCATAACATAGTATTCATTAATATTATGATCTGCCTACCTCTGTGATATAGGCCTCTGTGAGAGGAGGTCCGTGATTGGGTGAGAAATGGTCTCCCATACTGCTCACCACTGTGCTGAACACCCTGCAAACAGTACACAATACATGTACATTGTAAACTACATGGTGAGAAATGTTTCCACTATATTGCTACCTGTCACACATTCAGAACCTTCACAAGACCACCAAACCAACCAAGGTTGGACGTAGGATGGGCGCAGTTCAACCAGAATTAGCTCACGCCTTCATGTACATTGTACATGTACCTTTCTACACAAATCAAATCTACATACAATTGAAGTTAAATTTGAGTCAAATTTGACCCCCCCCCCAAACATGCCCTGAATACTTAGTAGTTTAAGTTAGTACTGCTGACCTATTAGTCTGACAAGGTTGCAATTTTGGATATATTTTCAAATGGTACTGTCTGGTGCAGTAAAGCTATAAAGGATAAGACCATTGTTTTATGATCAGTTGAAACCAATCTGTGAGTTGTGCCCTCTGACCTGAGCAGGGCGGTCAGTTTGGGTAGGCAGACGTCAGGCGGAGGGACGTCATCTTCACACGGGCTCCGCCGCGCAAACCGGTGCAGGTCCTGAAAAAAAGAGTCATCTGGCATCAATATCTACAATTGCACAAGTAGCCACCTCTTCAAGTCAGCCACCTGGCTATGATGACCACTTTTAACCAGTCCCGAATTCTATAGTCCATCGGAACAAGCATTAGGCAACCTGCCCAAGAAGGCCATCTGTTTATCTTGGTTGCCTGGGTGGCCTTCTTGGCAGGTTTGACTTCTGGTACCAAATTGGCATTGGTTATGATCTTATAGGCAGCATCTTTTTTTGGTGGATATTGAATAATAATTATAATGTTGTCACACGATTTTCAAGTCATCTCTCTTTGAATACAAACAAGATTAAAGAATAAGTTGGTGAAGATCATCCAGTAACCGTAAGAAAATAATTAAGTCTTTTCAAACTGGATAGATATTTTCTAATGAAACGGTTAAGATTAAAGAATATATGAATGAAAAAATAGCAATGGCATTCAAGGTGATGAAAAGAATTAAATCCATCAGGAAAAGAAAGAAAAACTGTGCAAAAATGACAATACACATCCACACATTAGTTAGGTAATTACACTACCTCAGTGTATGCCTCCATGTCCTCCAGGAACTGTCCCAGTAGAGTGACAGAGAAGCCCAGATCTCCCACCCAGAACTGTTGGAGGCTGACCAGGATATCTGCAAACACAAGCCATTGACATTCATCAGACCAAATATTGCAGAAGCCTGACTAATATGCTCAAGGTACAATGCTCTTAGCTAAAGCTACTTGTTGTCCCATAGCCTTTTTGAGGCTGTAGTGATAGTGGGTTGTTAATCCACTGTGTCTCACTCTGGGGCATGATATTGGAAGGCAGAGCCCATCCCTCTCCTTCCACTGCCCTGAAGTCAGGTACCCATTTTACACCTCGATGCAGTGAGGAAAGTCATGTAAAGTGCCTTTCCTAAGCCAGCGTCTAGCCAGGAGTGCAAGGAGTGGAACCTGTGATCTCATGTCCACTCGGCTATGAATTTTGATGCCACATATTGCCACATGTACTAGACTAACTCCTTATGCTGTATGTCATCAACAAACTCTATACATGTATATCATAATCTCTCTATGACATACTTTATTAAGTTAGTAAACCAAGTCTACATTTCATAAAGGAAATCCAATTTCATATTTCATAAATGCTACATCCTCCATATTTCATTACAAGCCCTACCTAATAACAGTTACACTAGAATAATACCTGAGGTGTACTTGATGACAGTTTCCTTCTGTGTGCTGTCAATATGCCACCCAACAAGTATATCCACTGTGTCCTGAAGCAAAGCAGAAAAAAATCAAAGTCTCAAGGTTCATAAAAATATTTCTTCATTACATCATCACCAAATTCCTCATAGTAATATCTAATAATCAACCATCTTAATTTACTTATTTTGGCCTCCTCCCATAATCATATTTTAACTTGTTTTTCTGGTATTTCATGCCTTATTTTTCACAATTTTACATGAACGGTAGGCCCTTCATTGGCCTCTTGGTTCTTTGAAGTGTGTGAAGTTGATTGATGAGAATTCTAGATGCAAGGTTCTCTTGTCTAATGAGAAATGGGTGGGACAATACATCATACTGTTCTCTGTCATTACACATTTTCCTGCTCTACATTAGCTTTTTAAACTCGTGCCACACAACTTAAAAGTTTACAATGTGGTCTACCATCTTCTGATTGGAGACACAACTGAAGTATTTATAAAGAGGAGCGTAAACTCACCCTGAAGTGGTTTGTGAAGACATGGGGATAGTACTCTGCCACATACTGGATACAGTCCACCACAGCCATCAACAAGTCTGTATAGGCAAGACAAACATCAGTGTGAGATAATAAAGACAAACATCTGTGTGAGATAATAAATACAAGAAACTTTTGTGTGAGACAATAGATGATGTACCTTGTACATTTCATGCTGAATGAAATGATTTTAATGATACAGTTCACTTTGTCTAGATATCCAATAATAAGTCTGTATGTACGCCAAACTTCAGAAACCTCAGTGTGAGACAATTTGGCACAAGAAAGGTACATGTACCTAGTACTTTTTAAGCTGTTCAAGAAAATGATTTTTATAGAACTTAACATCATCTGTGATGCAAAAGCAAACAGGTCAGCAGAAGAAATAATATCTTTAATAATGTTTGTAAATGCTTACCTGGTGTGTCAGCATTCTCCAGGACTGACTGGAGGTTTGACATGGCCATCTGAAACACAGAGAGAAACAATGGAACTCACGCCTTCTCTGTCACAAAATAATATACTACACAAGTTACGATAACGCTATCACCATGGTTTGATTTAGGTACATTGTGTACTGACTGTTTAGAAGTTCAGCAATATCAAAAGGTTTCAGGCTAAAAATTATGCGACTAGGTCAGAATGAGTTAACCATAGCCTTGGAAATCCCTTTGAAATGAACATCTCTGCCCTAACTATTTTAAAACAAGGTGGTTAATGCCATGATTGATGAAGTCAACCCTTATTTTTTTACGTTAATGATTTGCCCCTAATTAGAATAAATGTTCAAAGTAAAATACTTCCCTATAATATATGCAGTACTTGGGATTAACCATTTCTCAAGAGCTTTCCTGTGTTCCAACTGTGGCCGGGACTGCCATGCAAAGATAGGGCTGATTAGCCACTGTAGACACTGTACGCAGCTACAACATCGGACTTAGAGTGCTACCATAATCTTTCAATATAGATTCCTACTACTACTAGCTACCTTTTCAAGATTTAGTGTGCAAAAAAACAACAACTGTGCATCATTCCTCACTTTGTCTGCCTTGACATAAAACCAATCCTTTAGTGATGAACAAAACATGAGGGATTGGACCATTTCTTGAACTTGAGTGGATTCACTCCTCAAGCTAACCAACATCTATCACACTTACTGCAGTCATCCCTCAATAAGACATCTGGAGCCACATAGTTCCCATTTAGAACTTTTAGTTTTACTCAGCCTGTCACCACTGGTTTCAACCTGTGGGCTTCTTCAAGTGTGCTGAGACTAAATGACCATATATGTACATGTACATGTAGTTCATGAAGCTCTCATTTTTCATTTTGTGTCTTTCCAGTGCAGCAGAAAGATGTTGGAGTAATGCGACAAAATGAACAGGAGCACAATTTAAAGTGTTAATCAGCTTTACCTACAGGGTTTCTCAAGTTTTGCTTCAGAATCTGTACAATTTACAGACAGAAGGAATTGATGGATAACCAGGTATTACTGACACACCTACGCATGTACAATCACTTGTGTCCCTGGGCAAAATGGCTGCTTCCCAAGCATTACTTTACTTTCTTACCCACTGAGATATCCAGTCACAAACATATCTTCAGGTTGGACTTTACCAAACATGAAAAGCTCAATGTACACTTCAATCTAAGTATCTTCGTTGAGACCCACTGCTTTTTCAGAAATCCTTCTACTGCAATTCTCAAAGGAACCTAGAGGGGAGCCGGTGAGTCTTTTGAAATACCTAAGTCTCCCTAAAGGGCACTTTTTGTGTCAACCCAAAACTCTTGATGTTGGACTTATATAATCCCTTCAAAGGTTGCCATGAATTATAGAGAAAATGAGTTGTGTTGAAGTTGAAAGGGACATGACACAAGGGTTTTATAAATGGCATCAAGTAGGCTAAAGCTATATGGATAACCATGTTCTATATAACAGCACTATGTAGCTCTGGGAAGCATCTTTATATGCTTTTCTCTGCCACCTACATGTATTCTAGGGGTAGCAATCCTAGTTCTTATATAGAAGCGGCCATCAATTTGGTGCTTTTCACACAAAATTTTCATGCAAGCTCATGGGCTATTCTGCCTTACTTTTAGCTTACCTCAGTGTACTATTCCAGAAAAAATTATTCAAGAAGGGATATACCGGTAGACAAGGTATTATTAATTTTCATGGAATTTTGTACCATTACAGCTTTGCTTTTCCAGAACAGGTCTTAGACACAGTGTGTAGTAAAGAGTATTGCAACTGCCTGGCTCCAGTCTTACAAACCTCACGTTCCGGCCATAATTTCCAAGCCTTTTATTCCCAAAGGGGTAACAACATAGTGGAGATAACAGATAACGAATGTGTCAATCTGACGCTAGGACCTGGCAATGAAAAATGTGACAGAGGCTGAAATTCCAAAGTTCGCCATTGTTCTCTAATATTCGACCTTGGAAAAGAATGACTCTAGGAGGAGTTGTAATATGACAATGTGACCTTCAGAAGCAAATGAAGCAAATTATTGTTTTTGAGAAGGCCATGCAAAATGTATGGGACAAAAAGTCAGCACTCTATATCATAGAACAATGTGATACAGCCTCTGCCAGGGCAGCAAAATTTCTTACATAGAATTTGGCAGTTTGGCAATACAATGATATTAATTATTATGTCAAATAAAATTTCTTGCATGGAATTTGGTAGTTTTGCACTTGACAATGACATTATTTATTAAGTAAAATAAAATTGAGATGATGGAAAAAATTTCAGGCTGGCTAGAACACCGTACCATACTGTACCAATGACATCCCTCCTGACATCTGCTTGGTTTTCATTCATATGGTAATGTCCCAACCCAACGACAGAACATGATAGTCAGCGTAATGCCCTGGGCCACAAAAATGTCTTCCTTGTCCACAAGGCAAGTGCAGAGACACGACATAACAGATGACAATGCAGAAGGAAAGTCAGATAACCCTGGAAGCTTTCCCTCCCACCCACTCAACGATGACAATCTCTCATCAATAGTGCCCATTACACAGGACTCAGAGCTCTCCTGGGAGAATGGAATAATTGCCGAGTAAGCAGCTTTTGCATCACGTACCTGTAGGAAGTACTCCTACACCTAATCATTCACAGAGGCACAGAATAGCTGGCTACAGGCACAAACCCTGGAATTACTAACATAAAGATTCTCCCATTGATTAGATGATTAATGTTTCAGCTAGGCAGGGGTAATTCAAAATCCTTTGGACTTACTAGACTATACATGTATACGTTATTTCTGAAGTGTATTAGCTCCAAAATATATGAGGGCTTGGAATTTATTTTCGGGAATTTTTAGGTGCACTAGTGTGAATATGTGCATAATTTAGGCTGCATAATTATGTACAATATTCAAGTTGAACCCTGTTAAAAATTAAGTGCACAGCCCTATTTTCTTTGCACAAAAGATTATGCACCCAGTACTTTGAGCCTTGTGCATTGTGTCTACTTCCTCATAGATGTACAAATGTAGAATATATATTGGACATTTGACAAAGGATGTTCAATAGAACTCCATGTTAAATCTTTATTGAGCCCTCTATCTTTAGCATGGCTAGCTTCATGATTTTGTCCATGACATCCAAATTGATGAACTGAAGGAGTGATTGGATTAACATGCCAACATGAATAGTGCGTCATCCTTCCTCATCCTTTCCAGAAGCCTGAGCTTGGCTCATAACAAGTCATGTGCTCAGAGTAATTGGATCATCACTCCTGAAGAAAATTTGAGGTGAGCTGTCTTTGCTGGGTTGATCTAAAGTATCAAAACTTAAACATCCAGTGGGATGTAGCCTGACTACATCACCTTCCACTGGTCTTGGGGAAGAGGTCCAATCAGCCAGATGAGAGAAAAGCAACATTGGCCCACACAGATATTATGTAATATATAATTATATTGATTACAATTCAAGGAAAGCTAGTTCTCATCATGCTACATTTCTCTTCTGAAAGGTCACACACACACACAAAAGATTTGATACAATATATATACAATACAGTTACTGAAGGCCAAAGTTTATATCATAAATAATACTTACTGGGACGAATTCTTGAAACTGTTGTCGTTCGCAATCGATCTTGAAAGCCTGAAAAAGTGACAACAAATGTGTGGATTAAACCATTATTTTGTAACCCTCTAAAAAGAGTAAGAAGTATGATTATCAAATTATCTAGTATTACAGTACTTTCATTCCATGGTGATACATGATATGCCAGCAGTTACTTTTTGACAATGACAAGTAATACTTAAATGACTTCAATGACAAGTAAATTACTTTTGGGGTGATTTTATTTTGCATTTGAAGCAGCTGAATAAATTCAGCAGTACAGTTTCAAAACACAATTTCGCAGCGTTATGATCTTGCGGAAATAGTTTACTGCAAAAACTGTGAAAATAGAACAACAGTGAACATTTTAAGACTTACACAAGTTAAAGTAGACATTTGTCAAAGAAGTTAAAAACAAGGTGTCAAAGCCAGGAGAACTGCATGACTAAGGCTTGTTCACTCAACAGCTTCTGCATGTCTAATGCCCAATACATCTCCATAACATCTTCAGAGTGTTTCTAACGTCTTACCTGATGTAAAGCTTGCAGGAACAGCACCTTCAGGTCATCACTAGGTGCCGTGCCGACCTTGGCAAAGACCCATTGGAAGAATCGCTGGGCCTCGTAGCCGAGAGCCGCGCCCACCAAACCCACGCAGCGCGCTACCTCCTGTTTCACCTCAGCTGACACCCTGGAATGGACACACAATTTTCCACATGTCACATATTTTATGGAGGATACCTTTTTATTCATGTTTATTTGTGAACATATAAAGTTAACCTGTTCATAGGCTCTCTATTGCAGCACCCTCAAGGCATGCACAGTGTAGGTATGTAGGAGTGCAATATACTGCGGACTTTGCAAGTGGAGATCTGTTAAGATGCATTTTTCAGGGAGGCGGATATACATGGTTAAGCTGGTGTGTTATGCCGGCAGGCAGTTATACCGATACAGAATAATCTGATACAGATACATGATGTATATGACCTGGCAGAATTTTTGCCTTTAAATTATCACATTTATACAAGCATATCCAAGTACAGGTACACACTACATGTCTGTGGAAATTTCACTACAAGATGATTTTTCACACTGAATCTCTGCTGAATTGCAGACTATACACCCGCTCTTCTACTGCAGACTGAGGTTCTCCATTTTGTTCACTTCTGCCCTAGCCTGCAGATAGCAGGTTGTAGGTGGGCGTTTGATGGCCTTATTACATGTATCAGGTCCTGAGGGAGCGGTGGGAGGCAGGAAGACGTGTGGGTGGGGTGTCGCAGGGCGACACTAAGTACCCTGTAAAGCACTTCTCCTCATCTCAGCACATTTCTGACACGCACTCTCGGGATTTAGAAGAACATGCATGGCTTTAATGGTCAGATTGACTTAATATCATTACCTCTGGCCACACTGAAGTACTTCAATGGTTCACTTTTGGAAAATAACAGTGTGAAAAGAAAAAAGAAAGAAAAAACGCCACCTAAACTATTGTTATTGGAAAGATAGTAGCAATGTACTGTATATACTTACCTATCATAGAACAAGTCCTGTAGGGCAATTAAGATACTATCTGCCAACTTTGTGACACTCTGAAAGGAGAAAAAACAGGAAAGTTACACACACAAACTAGTTATGGTATTAAAAAAACAATGTGTATCATCTCACACATCCAACTACATATCAATAGTATACAGCAAAGGCATCGTGAGTTACAGAACATACGGACTAATTCCAATAGTAGTAGTGGGCAATATTCCATGGAGGTCACTGGCCCCCATTACTAAGTAACAATATAAAGTGTCATAATACAAAAACACACACAAACAAGGACATCCACACATACATACACAGACGCACGCATGCACACATACCCACACACGCACGCACGCCTGCACACACACACACAGACACACCAAGTTGAAACTCTTTGCACACACACACACACACAAACCAACCAACCAAAAACTTCTTGGTAAAGGTAATATACAAAGACATTTTACATACAATACTATAAATAATGTGGCATTTGCCTTTATCTGTAAAAAAAATTAATGACAATGGTTATAACATGCATTGTCCATGAACTTCCAGAGATAACTAATGATGGCACCCCTAGCTACAATCACAATGTACATTGTAGGTCACGACACCACAACTATTTTGTTGTCGCTTTGGAATTGACGACCTTTTTCTGCTCCAAGTTATGTCAACCAAAATAAACTGCACCCAAACTGTCCAGAGTGCAGGATTTATAACCCTTGTGCCATAACTGAGAGTGTTAGCGCTAGTACAACTTCTCCTGAACCAAACCCAAGATCAACACTAAAACAGCCACCTCTTACAACTAATGGGCCGTTAACGGTATTCCAGAGCCGGCAGTATAATGGAATATGCCGCCGTTAGTACATTACGCCGTCAATTACCTACGCAACATAAACTAATTTTCGGCATACCATTTATCTAGAGCATCAGGACCAAGATAGTCGTGACATTTGCTCATAGCCCAAAACCGGGGAGGTTCTATTTGGTGTATGCCAGGGGGCAAACTGCAACATATTGTGAACATTCTTCAATTCATATTTTAAAGGGTTGCTCCAGAAATAAGAAAGGCAGCCTGGGGTACCGTATATAAGAGATTATGTAGCGTCACCAGTTGTTATCATTTTAAGATGTAAAAAAATGACATTATGTACTGTTGAGATATCATGAAATCAACATTGTGATGATCATAAAGTTCATGGCCAATCAAAATAAAACCATTTATTTAATTATGTCAATATTGAAATATTTGACTTTTCTAAACAGTGACCGAGCACACAATATTTTGAACAAACAAAAGCATATTATTTGTGTAATTTTCATGTCTTTTTACGACAAGAAATTGTGACGAACAACATGTTCTAGACTTCATCATAAATTCATACACCATCTTACAAGTACATGTAACTGTATCCCTCAAAACAGCTCAGGGAATTTAGGTCAGGGTCAGACGTCCCCTGAACTTCAGTTGACCCTATCAGAACACTGTTGTATGTCATTTCTTGTCAACAGATTGACGTATTGTAACTGTAAGAGGTGCCAACTAGAAACTAAGTACATGACTGTATTAGAGCATATCATGTGTGATTCAAGAAGGTTTAAGTAAGGTTATACTAGTACTATAATACTAATAATTTCTTAACAAATCTTACAAAATACAAAATGATAATTAATGTCATATACTACAATATAGGATATATAAAATTCTAGCAAACTGGTACAAGTAGATTTATCATAAGATGAATTTTGATCAATCAAAAAGTATAGACAATAGGCTGAAATTCAACTAATGCATTGTGTTGACATCCAGATACAAGTATGGAGAGGTGGTCTTAAATAGCCTATAGTATAATCCCATCATAAGTTACAACTGTCATATGTTAATCCCCATGGTATTTAACCAGGCCACCACCCTTTCAACTTCACCTGACCCCTTACCCTAGTTGATTCGCAATAAAGTACAGTGTGAGTCCATTTTTAAGTCCAGTATACTACATGTATAAGACCATTTTTTCCCTGTATCTTTATCTTTTAACTCCACAATATGCTATAATGATGCTAAAAATGCAGAGTAGTAGAGAGTTATCATGTCTTATTTTTATACACTAGTTATGCTGACTAGGGTCGATTGGGAAACGAAACATTTTCTTTCCAATCCTAGGCTTTACTTTAAAGCAAAAGAGAAACCAAACCAACCTGTTTGTTATCGGGGTGTTGCAGGTGTTCTTGCAGTTGACTGAAGGCGTTGGACCTCCGTTCCCGGTCATCATCGCGATAGATCCGACGCATCAGACTGGCCATTCTCGGGTCATCGGCAAACAGGTGCGAGTGATCTGTACACCAAAAAACGAAAATAAAACAGCAAAATCGTTAATACGTACATATGTACCCACTTAACAGTGCATGTGCGAACATTAAATGAACTGTAACTTACAGTGTATGGAGAGCAAATTGTACATTGTATGTGTGCCACGGTATTGCTCAGAAATCCTAGAGCCGCAAAACGGCCCTTAGGTTTGTGAAAAAATGCAATAAATTTGTTAGAATTGCTGTAATATATTCTAAACCTGATGGAAAAATCTATACCGGTAGTCGCTTGGGTTTCATCTGTCTGCAACAATAGTACCAACAACTGACTCTGTGAGATAATTATACCATAAATATCATCACAGTTCATATTGATCCTATGGCATACCTGCACATATAACCTATACATTTATGATATCAACACTATAACTTTAATCAAGAGACAGAAATGTCAACCTCGGTCGGGAACCATTATTTGTATACTGGTGTTTGATTGGCTGTTTTCAGTGCCTTTAGTTACTGACAATAAAACACTTCTTCGTAATTATCGTTTTCAACTTCAGTAGGTGTGATTTAGTGCATGTGTTACAGTAAGTCTTTATTCTTTTAAATTAATGTGGTCAATGACCCTGTTCTAAAATTAACATGTTTATGTTTGTCACTGCTTTCACATATTTTGGTAAGTATGTATGATAAATATCAGCACATGTCAAAATTATTTGCATGCCTTTCTCAATGTCGCTGTCTGATTTTTCTTCTGTCACTAGCCCTGAATTCTAACTTGATGATAAATATCCTTAAGCAAGCTAGCTTATACCGGTAGTCTTGCAATGCAATATCAGGGCAGCAAAACTGAATTTTTAAAGGCAGTTTTCTGTATTTTTTTAAATCTGTAATATGTTGAATCAACCCATGTAGGATACTGATCTTATCGGGAACGGGTTTTCTGCGCGTGAAAAATTTGCGCGCGCGTGAAAAATTTGCGCGTGAAAAATTAAAGTCCTTTGAAAATGTCAGAAAATATGCAGTACCAAATTCTAATGCAGAAAAAAGTTACCCTGTAACATGATTTTCCATCTACAACCTGAAATTTCGGTTTGAATTTTTAGGTCCCTTGGGAATAGGTTAATTTGCATATCTTCCAAGAAACATTAAAATTAAAAAATTACTTGAATTTGCCAGAAAAACATGGAACAGTTACTAATACAAGGTTTTGTATTGTTAAATTTAACAATTCCAGGCTTTTCTCCATTCTATAAGCTTGATTTGGCATTTTATGAAGCAGTTTCTTTCACGCGCAAATTTCAAACTTTTTTGCGCGTGAAAACTTAAACTTTGAAAATCACCTAAAAGTCACTGAAAAGTTTACAAAACAAGGCTATGTACTCTAGAATGTGATAATATGATACTGAAACTCAATTCTATTTCATGACTTTTCATCTATATTTTTAAGTCCAAAACAGCAAAAAGTTTTTAAATCCCTTGGGAATTGGCTAATTTGCATATTTTCACGTGCAAATTTTTCACGCGCGCGCAAATTTTTCACGCGCACAAAACCCCATCTCGATCTTATCTGTCAGGCAAAAATATGATGTTGCTGACGGAAAATCATTTAATGATTGCTTGTTTCGTATCGTACGTTGATTCTAGTTATTCATTGGTGGGTAAAAAATACAGGGACTCCTTGCATACCATGTTTCTGGGTTATTTCAAACACTTCAACTTTGAAATGATGCTAGGAAATGGCAGTAAATGTCCTCATCCAGAATATTTTGTTTTGCCACCCTGAAATTGCATTAGATGGATTTAAATAGCTACAGTGACTAATTTCACATAATTCTTTAATGATCTTTCAGACCATGTTCACCGAAACATGATCATGTCATATGTTTAACACATTACTGTACTACATAAACAGAGCCTTATAATTTATATAAACCAGGACCAAAAAACACATGTAGATCTTCACACAATCACGCTCCTTTTTCCTTTCATGTATGACAGTGAGGAGTATCACGTAGAGCACGTATGCATGATATGTATATCAGTGGAGGTATCAGATTTCAAATATCACATTGATGAGTTTGTTCCTGTCTCATACAAGAAGGATGATCTAAACAGTATAGAATTTTGAGCCACTAATATTGTAATGGCATAAAAATGTGAAGCATCTTTTTTTCCACCCAGTTTTTCACATCTACTTCAAGATGATGAATAATAATAATCAGCAGGTTGAATAGAACCTGCAGTTCACAAAGAAGCCACGAGGGGTCCAAGATTTTTCCATCATTTCTGTCTCATTCAAAAATGTATATGTACTGTGATATGAAGTTCAACTATGCCAGAAGTAACAGAGCCCCTTAAAAATATAATGATTATAAGAAAATTAAATCGTACTTGCAAAGGTTGTCAGTGTTGTAAATTATAACTCATCAGTCATGTTATTCCCTCCATAGACATATCATAAACCATCAGATGTTAACCATTCTAAATATCTAAAGAGCTTTTTATAAGTTCTATAACAATTTTCATTGAAAACAATAACAACCAAACAAACAAAAAAAAGGGAATCTTCCTTACCTGCCCACCAATACCCACAGTTGGACCATGTTGTCCACTTTTCTCTTCTTCCTGGCATACTTTTT